CCAACTCGGGCATGTGGGGTCCCGTCAAGAAAGGCGGCGAAGGACGGGCAAACCTCATCATCACACCTCACACCGCCGATACGCTAGACATGGTCCTGCCCCTGTTCACGCGGGTGAGAAGCATGATCAAGACTTGGATTGAGGGAGACTGCCACGCTAATGTGCCCACGTGCGTCTCACACCACAGCGCTTCACACAAAATGCCCAGGCCCTAATCAGCGGCGACGGCAGCTTCGAGGGGGTCGTCGATGCTGAGCATGGCTACTGAATCGCCAAGAAGGTATGGATCGATTGAACTGGCTCTCTCTTTAGATATTATTACAATGCACAACTCTCTGCAAAGCTTGATGGTTGGCGCCCCTCGTCCTAGGTGTCCTCTGTCAAAGACATGTCTAATCGTCGCCAGGGCCGGTCTTTCTGAGGTTCACTCTGATTCTAGGACGCGCAGAATTGGGGGTGAGCGCGGCGTTGTCTCCCGAGTCTGCCGCATCGCCGGCAACTGGTGCGACTGGAAAGAGCGCCGAGGCGGCCTCGCCATTCGTGGGCAGAGGGTCACCTGGGCCGTCGATACCAGGCAAGTCCGTTCCGATGACGTGTTCCGCGTAAGCTCTGTCCCATGCTTTCTGCAGTTCGACAGCATCGTTCCAAACCCATGATCCTTCCTGATTGTACGTCTTCGCATTCAGGACCATCTGATGGATGTCATTCCTAGCCAGGTAGGCCTCGCGGTACGAGCGGTTATCGATGCGTCGCTTGACCTGACGCATAGCGACGGGCCGCTGTATAAGGCTGTGTTTGAGAGGGAAAGAAGCGCATGAGCACGTATCTTCACTGCGCAAGACCTCGCACTCGACTCACACGTGATAATCGGGATAATCGGCCTTCTTGGGCACATCGAGGAACATGCGGCATCGTTGTCGTCCATCATCATCGCACGCATTCTCCAGAGCGCGATAGACTTTGACCAAAGCGTCTCGAAGCTGGTCTCGCGGATCGTCTCCTCCAGCCATGCGCTGTCGCTTTGCAGTTGCAGACGCGTTCCCTCGCCCTCCGATCGGGGTGTTATCGCGCTCTGGCGAGGCTGAGACAGAGTCCGGAAGACGTTTCCGCTTTCGAGGCCCGCCCTTCGGCGAAGGCTCGGGCGTGTCCCCTCCAACGGCGCTCTTCCTTCCTTTCTTCTTGCCCGCACTAGGCTCTGGTGTGCCAGCATCCGAATCTTCGCCGCCGCCGCCGCCGTTCTTCGCCAGCTGTTTGCGGCGCCGCTTCTCGGCTCTCACTCTCTTCTTCTCGACCACGTCTGCAAGATCGATGTCATCGTCCTCAAGAGCACGCAAGAATTGCTCCTCAGTGAGCCCGTCGTCGTAATGCACCACTGCACGCTTGCGAGATGATAGTTCCTCTTCTTCCACCACCTCCTCGAGCACTGCCGTGTCGAAGTCTTGCTGGTAGAGTGTTGGGAGTTCTGATTCCTGTATGAGACGCTCAGGTGGTTTTCCCGTGTGTCCCAACGCCTTCCATTCCTCCGCATCAAGCTTCTCCCGCTCGATGTCCATTTCCTTGAAGCGTTCCAGCTCATGCTCGCCACGAGCCAGAATCTCGTTGAGCTCGGCGTCTCCAAGATCTCCATCCTCTTCCGCTTCCTCCTCTTGATCAGCTTCTAACATTGCACGTAGCAGATCCTCGCGCTCCTCATTGCCCGAAGAGTTGTCGAATTTTCCTGCTTGGATGACTTTGCCATCGATCTGCAGCTTGTGGTTGGCACGCTCGAGGATGACTTCTTCTACCGACCTTTCAGTGACGAATCGTAGAATGCGCACTTCCATCTTTTGACCGATACGATGTGCACGATCCTGGGCCTGCAGATCTTGATGAGGGTTCCAATCGGAGTCATAGATGATGACGGTATCGGCTGTCTGCAGATTCAATCCAAGACCACCAGCACGCGTTGAAAGGATGAAAGCAAAGATGTCGGAATCTGGTGCGTTGAACGCCTTCAGCAACAGCGAACGGTCGTCTGGCTTTGTGGTGCCGTCCAATCGACAGTATTTGTGCCCGCGAAAGCGAAGGAAGTCTTCCATAATGTCCATGATGTGGGTCATTTGGAAGAAGATCAGAACCTGCCGATGAAAACACGCGTCAGCGATTGTAGATGCGAGAAACCTCAACTCGACATGTACTTACTCTGTGCCCGAACGCTTTGAGCTTCGGAAGCAAACGATCGAGGAGCTCAAACTTGCCCGACACTCGGTAGAGATCTGGTCCAGTCTGCTTGGTCGGGTTGATGGCAAGTTCTACCTGTTCGAAGACGTAGGGATGATTGCAGATCTTTCGCAACTGCATGATAGCATTCTGCAAGCCCTTGATGCCCTGTTGTTTCTGCTTCCTGCCGCCGACTGCACCACCAATGTCGTCGCCTGCCAAGAGCATTTTGTGGTTTTTCATCTGAGAGTAGAGCTTGCGCTGAAGACTGCTCATCTTGCACTTGATGACCTTCTCCACCTTGTCGGGCAGCTCAGACTCCACGTCCTTCTTTAGACGGCGCAGCAGGAACGGACGAAGCACTTTGTGCAGACGTTTGATGATCAGCAGAGCCTCTTCTTCATTGAGCTGCATAGCACTGTCTCCAGAGCCGGTGTTCGCAAATGGCGTGTTGAACCACTCGTCAAAAGATTTCACGGAGTTGAAGATCCTAGGCAAGACGAAATTGAGCAAAGCCCAAAGCTCTGGCAAATTGTTTTGCAGTGGTGTACCCGTGAGCAAGAGGCGGTACCTTGACACATAATTCTGAACAAGCGTCACAGTTAGCTTGCTCTCTGTGTTCTTCATGCGGTGACCTTCATCGATGATCATGTGCACCCATCGAATCTTGCCGAGCAGTGCTTTCTCCTTGATCACGTACTCGTAGGTGGTGAGGAGCACCTGGAAATGTCCCTGTCTGATGCGATTGGACAGATGGCGACGCGCAAGAGGAGGACCTTTGAAGACCAAAGTGGCTACGGACGGAGCCCATTTCTCGAATTCGTTGACCCAGTTCGTCAACGTAGAGAGGGGAACAATGACGAGATAGGGTCCCGGCTGTCGTTTGTGCTCGATGAGGAAGGTGATGAGCGAAATGGTCTGAATCGTCTTTCCGAGACCCTAAGAGAGAACAAGATACGCGGCATAGTCAGCACAAAGGGATAGATCAGCGTCGTCGCGCTTGGCTCACCATTTCGTCTGCGAGGATACCGTTCAGCCTGTTATTGTACAAAGACACCATCCACTGCAATCCTTTGATCTGGTACTCCTTTAGCTTACCACCAACAAGGATTGTGGGCTGCTCCAGCACGCGCTCAGTGATGCGATGTGCGATGGAATAATAGTCGACCTTTTGACCTGC